CTTTCAAGTGCTAAAAATCTGTTACATGTCATGACAACAAAGCTTTGATACGATCAGGTGAAAATGAACATATAAATAAGAATCGTAATAATTAAAACGATAAAATCTTCCGGAAATCTCAGGCATACCTAATTACGCTTTATAAATAATTTGAAGTGACATTTAGCGTAACTATTCCTCATTTGCAAGCCTTTTTTTCACCACTTCAAGGTTAGAGCATGATGGTAGGGGCCATTTCCGCAGAATACATAAATATTTATTAGATACTAGCTGATTGCCCAGCCCGTTGACCGATAGAAGAGCGAAAGGAAGACTTTCACTCCGGGGACTCATCTGCTGTGTTTCTTTGACCGACTCCGGATTTATGAATTTTATAAGACTGACCGTGTCATGGCCTACGCTACGGTGGGCGTGCGGAGAAGAACTCGACCGGAGACAAGAAAGTTGCAAGATTGTCACAGAAAGTCACCGTTATTTGTAATTAAATTCTAGGGACATTTTTTTTTTCTTAAAGGCCATAAGTTAGCCATTGACGTACGCACATGTGTGAAAGTATTTTTTCGTCCGTTATAATAAAAATGTGAAAGCAAATTAATAGTTTGTTTTCGTCGGTCAAATTAAAACTGTATACGGAATACCTAATAGATTTTGTGCTATATTATTGACCCCTATGGGTGTATGGGAGTCACGCGTGTCATAACCATTAGGAATGCGAATCGTACTCTCTGAAAGTGTAATGCTGGTGGAACTGGATGTGGGAATTTGGGTGATTAAAATGTCAGAAGCTTAAAAGGGTAATGAATTTAGATTGATTATATTTAAATGTCTTCCGATTTTATAAAAGGAAAAGGAGAATAGAAAAAACCTGGACAAAAACAAATAAACCTGTATTTCTTGTTTCAAATTGAGATTTAGTTTGAAAATAGAAATCTCAACTGGTAAAAAATATGCATTATCTGGAAGTCCACTCTTGACCATCAATCTAAAAAAAAATATAATGCATAAAATATAGTTTAAAATAATAAACAACACACTAGTGGAGAGAAATAAAAGTGGTTGTTACTCAGCGATGTAGTCTCATCAGTTAACGCACTCGCTACGCTTACCATATCTTAATTATAAAAGACTAAATTCTAACTTCAATCTTTTAAGAACTGAATATACGAGTATTTTAGGCAAGGAAAACAGAAAAGAAAAAAGGCAAAAACCAGAATGATATTATAAAATGAATTAGAAGAATAAAAAGCAATAGAGTTTAATAAGTACTAGAAAAAAAACTCATTTTTTTTTTAAGTAAAAAAGGGCATAAGAGTATATTTCAAGTTTGAACCAGTATTAATAGATATCTTCAAATTTTCAAAGCAACAATAAGAGTCAATTAGTCAATCCAATTCCTAATAAAATTCAAATAAAAGCTCAACTTTCATTACATGAATTAAAAACATAAAAACAATTACAATATTGCTCTAAATTACAGAAAATGTAAATTTATTTGCCTTACATAACAGTTATTATTGACTATCGGAGAATAAATCTGCTTCTACATATGCAAACTGTTCGTAATTGCCAACAAAAAGAGCAAAATTAAGTAAATATTTTAAGTATGGTTTACCGCTCTCATATTGTTTTAGTATGCAGTGATAAATTACTAAATTAGATGTATGTATACATATGCACAAGCGTCAATTATAAGGTTTAATCTATTGGAAAACACCCATTATCGATTATTTGTCTTGAATATTAATTAAAATATAAACAAGATTGTCTTTAATTAAACCTAATGCCAGTTGTTAGTTATTTATAGACCTCAAATATGTTATTTTTCACAAACTCGAAACCTCTTTCAAATGTCTTTGAATTCCATTGACTTTCGCCTAGTTGCACGAGAAAAATGGGTAATCGAATCGAAAGGTGAATTGTTCAAATCATCGGTGAAAGAAGCGCAGGAAATGACCCAACAATCTAACAGTTTATAACTCAAATTGTTCTTGGTTACAAGAGTGTGAAAAATGACACTTTGACATTCAGAGCGTACAAAAGATGTGTCAGTGGGTCGATGATTGGGCAAAAGATAATTAGACCAGGCAATGTCGAGATCTTGATCTTAGTATGGCTTCAAGATGATCTATTTACCACCATAAAAGGAATCTAGTGAATGTTATTGATCAATTAGATTTATTTCAAAAGAGTAATTAAACTGGAATTGATTCAAAATCGCAATTTTATTGAGTTATTGCTCAAGGATTTTTTATATTTTGCCAGGAGGTGAATTTTGTGATGACAAGATATCGGTATTTTGAGTCATGATTAGAAAAAAATTAGACTGTGGTATCGAAGACAGCCGCTGGCGAAAGCACTGAAGTGTTATTAAATGTCATCAATCAGGACCTGTCGGCAGTTTTGATAGTTAGACGTATTACACACTTTCGATGGGATCAAAAGTGACACTTGGATAAAAGTTAAACAGCTGCGAAATACGCTTATCATCAATGGTTTATATTAATGGGACTGATAAAGATAAAAACTAATTTATTACAGTGACAGCCGACTATTTTCTGCAAAAAACTTGTGGACATTTAAGTATAAATATAAATAAAAAAACAGAAACGTAGAAAAATAAAAAAAACAAATTTTTAGTTCAGATAGTATTCAGAAAACAATTG